GATCATATGGTAGTTCTATCCTTGATTTTTTGAGAAATCTCCATACTGTTTTCCATAGTGGCTGGACCAGTTTGCACTCCCACCAGCAGTGTATGAGAGTTGAAAGGGGACCACTTTTAATTTCTGGAAGCACAAGGAATATGTTTATCATTCAGGTGCATTCTTGGCTGCTGAAAATCGTGGTTAACTTTCACGTATTGAGCTGCTGGGGGGTAGTACTAATAGCTAACATTTATTGAGTGCTTTCTGTGTGTAAGGGACCCACAGTGCACTTGGCATGGATTATCTCGTCTTATCCTCCCAGCGGCCCTAGGAAGTAAGGGCCGTTGTTAATTTCTGAGGAGGAAGGTGAAGCTTCGAAAAGCCTCCTGGTGCACACAGTGAGTAATGGAGGCAGGATGCAAATGGGCCGTTGTGATTCCAGAGCCTGGGCCTCCAAAGGGGAGGTTCTCCTTCCGGAATCTTTGTGCACCTCTCTGTTCCGTTCCCTCTGTGATTCAGAGATTCAGCGTAGGTTTGCAGTAAATGTCCAGTGGCTGAACATCCAGTGTGAGCATTAGTTGAGCACCTACTGGCTGCCAAGCAGCTGCATTACTGGGTTCTGGGAGAGGCAGAATTTCAGGTGATGTAGTTGCCGTCCTCAGGCTGCTCGCTCGCAGCTCCGTAATGGAGAAAGCTCGGGGCTACATACAGGTGATGGCTGTTCGGTGTGGGGCTAGGGGTATGGAGAGAATAAGGCCTGCATCCTTTTAGAACATCCCAGTTCCTCATATTGGTTTGCTGCGCCAGAGCAAATGGGCCAAAGGAGATGACAGGCTGGGATTTAAAATTGATATGGTGTCTGTCTTTCTGCTGTGGGAGCACTGGGGAGTGGGCAGCAGTGGATTCAGCTGAGAGTCACAAGGGACTGATGAGAAGATTGGGGGAGGCTGCAGAGAGGAGGGAAAGGGCTTTGCAGGATGAGTAGGAGTTCACCAAGAGGGCTGAACAGTTGGAGGGACAGCAGGAGCAGAGGCCCGGAAGAGGGACAGTGTGCGATATGTCCAGTGTGGCCAGAGTGCAGAGCTGGCCGTAGCTGAAGCTGTAAAGTTAAGAGCTTGGACGGTGGGGCCTCAGTTCCAGTTCATCTTATTAACACCTGTGTTACTGGTATTGTGGTTTTGTCACCTGCTCAGGAGGATGGGGCTGGTACCCACCCGGCAGGGGCGCAAAGATATTGAGGTGTGCGCTGTCTCCAACTAAAAGGCGCTCCGTGAATGTTTGCTGTGGGTGTTACCTTTAGGCTGGTTGTGAAGCAGTCGTCTGTAATCCTGCCGGTTTGAGACAGAGAAGTGATGCGATTAGATGTGACCTGTGACCCTGTTCATCCCAAAAGGAAGGTCTTCATCCTCCTCAGGGCTATGCTGAGGATCTGCTGCGCTCCCACTGTGTGCATTTCCTTGGACGTGACCTTCGGTGCCTGTGTGTTTATGGTAGAGGAAGCAGGGAATGATGACGTGTGTCGTGAGCTGAACTGAGTTTTATATGGTGGTTGGGGAGAAATCGGAGTATTGGGTTTTCGTCTCTACTCTTTCATCAACTTACCGTGTGACCGTGGAAAGTCACACATCACCCCCTCCTTTGCCATCTCAGGTCTGTTTTTCCTCCCAGTGTTACGATCTGGGGGAGCCAGGGGGTTCCACTGGGGCCGCATGCTCCCTGGAGCCTGTCGGAAGAATTAAAAGAGATGCGGCCAAGCGTGGCAGGTAGTAAGTAATCAATAATCTGTTTCCTTTTCTTTTTTTTTCTGTTCCATTTCCTTCCTCTCCTCTGAACCACTCCACGTTTTCCGAATTTAGTGTATTCCTTTCCTTTTTTTTTTTTTTTTCCCTGAGACAAAAGGAAGTTCCAAGTTCTGCTACTTCCTAATTAGCTGACCTCAGGCAAGCCACCCTGGCGAGCCTTAGCTGTTCATCTTTGAAATGCGTCTGGTAACTACTTCCGAGGAGTGGCTGGGGATGAAGCGAGACCCTGAGCTGGCCCAGAAGGTGCTCAGGAAGGCAGGTTGTGGCCCCTCACTGGCCAGCAGTGACCACTCACTGTATCTCCACTGTATTTCCAGGACCTCGTGCTGAAAAGAGAGCGGGTAACTCCCAGGAACAGGGTTCCTCCAGTGAGTTCTGTGACATCCCTGCATCACTGTCACCCAGGGACCGTGGAGTAGACCCCACCCCAGGCCTACTGACCAGAATTGCTGTGGGTGGACCTTGGGGGTTGACCTGTAACAAGCCCGGAGGGGATGCTTAGGTGCACTTGCGGGGGGCGGGGGGGGGGCACGGTCCGACATACCTTGAGTGAGCCTAGTACTGTAACTCACACCGTGAAGGCACTTGGTAAATGTGGAGCATTGTGTGTGTGTGTGTGTGATGTCATCGTGAAGGCTGTAATGCCACCCAGTCCCATGGAGCTCTGGAGACTTACGTTCCCCAAGTCAGGGTGCTTTTCTGGACTGCTGTTCTGACATGTTTTAATGGGTTTGAATTTCTGCTGCCTATTTTTTATTTTATTTTTTCCCTTTCCTCCCTTCCCCTGCTCCTTCTCTTTTCTTTCCCTAGATAACGTTCGTGTTGCCCACACACACTTTCTGTCTCCTCACCCCCGAATGCTGATGGGCTAGGACGTAGTGGGGTTTGCCTTCTGAGTGCAGGGGAACGAGGATGGGAGAGGAGAGTAGGAGCTAGGCTTCCCCACCTCACTCGCTGGCAGTTTTAAACAACTCTCGTCCTCCGTGGAGCATCTGGGTGACAGCGCAGCGGTGTTGACTTCCTGTGCCTTGCTCCCAGCCGGTTGGTTGGATTTTTGTTCTCTGTCTCCTCCTCCTGCCCCCCTCACCCCCACCTTTGGATTTACCCAGTGTCCTGTGGGCCTGGAGATCAATTCCCCAGTTGACGTAGTGAAGGGCACCTGTGTGACTCGAAGTGAAGACCTGCTTCTGTGCAAGTCAGAAGTGCATTCCGAAGTCACAAGCGTGACCTCCCGGAAGCTCAGCTAATCTAGATTTTAAACAGGAGCCAGAACAAAGCGGGTGATTATGGGATGTGTGGAGTGTGGGATGTGGGAAAGGGTAGCTGCAGCGGTTGCTTGATGGAGAGCCTGTCTTGAGGAAGCGGTTCGTGTGGAGGAAGCCAGCTCCCCAGCCCCCGAGAGAGTGGGAGCTCGGGGTGCTCGGAATGTGACCCAGATCCCAAAGTGAGGCGCAGGGCTTTGGCGCGATGATAGACCCGGGGAGACTTGCAGTCTGATGGTCCTGGGTTCAAGTCCACCCCCTTGCCAGCTGCATAACCTCAAACCAGGTGCCTACCCTTCCCATGCTGCCGTTGCTGTGATTTGGGATATGAGACCTGTCTCTGGGGTTGTGAGCATTATTGGGGGAATTAAAAGGGGCCTCTTTCTGGTTGATGATTAATAAATGCCATTTCTTGTCTCCTTACTTATTTTGAGCGTCACTCTCTACCCCTACCCTGAGTGTCTTTCTTCTTCTTCTTCCCAACTTACATACCTCTCAGGGTCTATGTGATCCGTCCCTGAAAACAGCTGCGGTCCCGGTGGAGCTCCCTGAGGTCCTGGAGTTTGTTGGCTTAGGCCTTACATGGACTCCTTCTCATGACGCCATTTCTTTGATGAGATTTGAAGCTCTTTGCAGGCAAGGACGCGTGTGAGATCTTGAGTCTCCTTCTAAGTTACTTTCCTGGAGAACATGCATGCCCTAGAACTTGTCTGTGCTGAGTCTTGAAGGTTAGGTCCTGCTGTCCTGTCAACACCTGTGTCCTTGAGTCCGTGCTGGATGGTTTGGTTCCCTGGCACTTTGCCCCCTTTGTTCATGGGGATTTGATTGACATTTGGGTCTTTGCTGACCTTTCCCTGGCAAAGGCAGACAAAAGGAACTTAAAAAAAACAAAACACCAAACTTTGAAGGTTTGTCATCTGTGGAAGGAAAGTGCTGACTTTTCTCAGCTCATTTCAGTATCTCAGTCACCTTCAGGCTGTACAGGAGAGTGGAGGCGAGCGGATTAAGTGGGAGGTTTTCTTGTGTTGAGGACCTGCCCTGTGAAAGGGCTTATGTAGGTTATGTCTGATTGTCCCCCTAACTGTGTGAGACAGGACCCATTTTGCAGATATGGTTGTCGAGTCAAGGAACTAGAGCTTAGGGTTTCACAGCTGTTTAGTAAGCATTGGAGCTGACGTTCTCACCCTGGTTCGTCTGTCTATAAAGTGCTGGTCATCGCCTGATATGGCGTCCCTCTGTCCCTCTCCTGCCCCACCTCCTGTCTATCTGCCTCTTTCTCTGAAAATTGCTATGGCTGTTCCTCTCTGGTTTGGTCTAGTTAGTGAAGAAGAGGCTCTTATGAAGGAACCCCAGGGGTCTGTTATTAGGCCAGTTGTATCCCTGTTAACAGTCAGGGGCCTTCATCCTGGTGGGTCTGTAGGACGGCTTGCGAGAAGTGCCCACGTTCTACCTGGGTGCTGCTCACAGCTTCCTCCAGGAGCATTTGTCTTCTCACCTGCAGGTGGGGAGGAGCGGTCAGGGGTCAGTTGTTTTGGGGAGCCCCACCTCCCCACTCCTGTTGCATCAGCCCTGAGCCTGGTAGGAATGATGTGATGGCACCAGACCACAGCTGGACACTCTTCCCCCTCTTCTGAGGAGCCATCTGGAAAAGCCTGTCATGGGCAACACGAAGGATTTACTGTGGGAGCAGGAGTGAGACTTGGGACCCACTGACAGGCCATTGGGTTGGGGTCGTTCTGGTCAGAGTCTGGCGGTGGATGTTGTTGATGCCTCGAGAATCTCTGTTCATTGCCTTTTCCAGCGACCAAGCTCCTGCCCTCCTCATCTCTGTCTTCTAGAACCTTCTTATCCTATCACCCTGGCCCCAGTCTTTCCCACCATATAGGCCTTCTGAGGCAGGACACCTAGTGGTTGAGCTAAAAGGCTCTGGGGGCAGTGCCTGGGCTCCTGTCTCAGCTCCGTCTCTGACCACCTGCGTGGCTTTGGCCCTACAGCTTGCTGTGCTCCAGTGTTCTCGTTTGAAAACGAGTTCATACTCACAGCGCTGTTGATGTTCCATGACTTAAGGCAGCTGACGCTCTTAGAACAAGCACCCAGGCGATGTGGTTATTCCCGGGCCTCTACCTTCTGCTGACAGCGCCACTGCACCTACCAAATAAAGGAGCAGTTCCTCTCCCAGGCATTGTGTGTCCAGCCCACCCTTCCTTCTGGAGATTTGCGTCTTATCCTGCATCCCGCGCGTCTTAGCTTGGTGACCTTAGGTAAGTCATGTCACCTCTCTGGGCCTCGTTTCTCAGCTGTTCAGTGAGGGCATTGAACCAGATCATTCCAAGGTTTCTCGTGCTCTGACATGCTGGGGCTTCTCACATTCCGTGTGGTCCAGCCTCTCCCTCCGTGCCCCACCTCCTGCCACCCCACCTTGGTAACCAGGATGTCACCAGATGTGCCCGATTTTGGACATGTGCTATCTGCATGTTTGCTTCTCTGGATTTCTTTTCTTTTTTCTTTTTTCTTTTTTTTGAGGAAGATTAGCCCTGAGCTAACATCTGTTGCCAATACTCCTCCTTTTTTTCCCTTTTTTCTCCCCAAAGCCCCAGTAGATAGTTATATGTCATAGTTTGCACATCCTTCTAGTTGCTGTATGTGGGACGCTGCCTCAGCATGGCTGGACAAGCGCTGCATCGGTGCACACCCGGGATCCGAACCCGGGCCGCTAGTAGCGGAGCGCATGCACTTAACTGCTAAGCCATGGGACCGGCCCCTCTCTGGATTTCTTAGTATAGCCTGAAAGCTCCCTGAAGGCAGGGATCCTGTCTTTCTTGATGAACGTAATTTCTGGCTCCTAGCACCATGAGCACTCCATATGTAGCTATGATTAATCACTATGCCAGTCAACATTTATTGGGCACCTGTTGAGTTTCCCAAGTGCTGTGCAGGACTCCTGGAGCCTGGCCAAACCCGGATGTCAGTATTTTTAAAGAATAGCTCTAATCAATGTACCTGGCAGAGTTGTCAGCAGGGCTCTGTTACCTAATGCAGGTGAAGGTGCCCGGCGATAGAGGGCTCGTTCTGTGTGGGCCCCCGTGCCCCCTCCTGCATAGGGAGTGTCACAGTGCAGAGCATCATCAATCAGATTCTTACTATTACTAGTGAATGGGACTGGGTTCAGTTTGCATCTCCCAAGCCTAACGGGTGGGAACAGCAACAGTACTAGCTGATCAGGCTGTTGTTAAGGGAGATGCTGACGCTCTGCGTGAGTTGTGAGGCCCCCGTGGGCAGGTTTGTATGCCAAGCACTTTATATACAGTCTGTCTTCCACGGATGAACCCCAGAGGGCATGCATTCCAATTCCTTGTTTTTATTAAACAGACGAGGAAGCACTTTCAAAGACCTTGAGGGATGTGCCCAGGGCCAGGGACTGACTGCAGCGGTGGGAGTCACACCCTGGTTTATTTGGCCCCCACGCCCCCACTCATCCCCCCATCCCCTGAGGGAGGCATCGGGTCAGTGCGAGGAGGAGCGTGTGCCGGAAGGCTTGGGCATTCCAGATCAGCTGATCCGTGTCACCCCAGCACACGGTGGGGGGAAACCGAAATGAGGCAAAAATAGAGTCTGTCAGCAGGAGGACAGCTGCCGCTTTCTCGGGGAACAAGTCTCCTTGATTTATCTCCCAGGTTGGGCAGGCCCCCGCTCTCAGGGTATCACAGAGAAATCACGTGAACACGGCCAGAGAAACGGCCGCGTCTCTCTTGGTCAGAAAAAGATGAAGTGGACACCTTCTTTGTGGCATCGGTGTTGAGGAAATCTTACCCCACAAACCTGAGAAAGAGAGAGAGAGGCGAGCCCAGATCGTGAGGGCTTCGCTGACTCGATTCTTAGCTCCGAGAACACCTTCGCATCCCCTGCAGCTGGTGCTGCTGCCCCTTGGCCGGCTCTCAGAGGTGTTGGAGTCAGCGTCTGCTGACTCGTGCTCCTGCTAAAATTAACAGCGTGACTGATGGCTGCTGCAAGAGGGAAAGAGAGAGAGAGAGAAAACACACGCAGAGTCAAGGAGACTCGGAGGCAGAGAGGGGGCCGACACACAGCCATGCACCCGCTGGGAGATGCTCTCTGTGGCTCGCACCACAAACTCGATCCTCTCACAACGGTGGTACCAGGGACCGCCTGACCTGGCTTTCCTCATTCTGTCCCTCGTAGCCCATTCTCCAGTCTGTGCCAACCCACGATACCTTAAGTCTTCAGGTTCCCAGAGCATCCCTCTGTGCGTTCCATATTTAGGGGAAGTTGGTGTAGAAAGATGCTCTCTTCTTACTGGACAGGAAAGAGAGGCAGCCTGTTTTCTGTTTTTCTTCAGAGTGTCCACGACGGGGGGGTGGGGGTCAGCTGGTGGAAATACCTGGTGGGGAGGGTCAAGAATGAAATGACATATTTGGGCCTGGCAGCTTGGGAGGCAGAGAGGAGGGAGACTCAGCCAAGAGAATGACACTGAGGGCCGTATTTTGTTGTGGGGCAATTCTGTGTCAAATTCCATGTCACCAGGCCAGAGCATATTTATTAGTGAAGTGTTTCCCTCAGTGCCCTCGGGGGCAGGGTCAGCTCTAGGGCTGTGGGGCATGAAAGTCTGGGGGAGCGGGGAAACCTGGAAGGTGTCGGTTCCCAGGCCTTGAGGGGGAGTTCCGATGTCTTCAATATTCCAGCAGACAGACTTTCACAGGAGAAATAAAAACAAAATGTTAACCAACTTTTTACTGAGGTAACATGCATAAAAAAGGGCGCAGATCCTGAGTATGTAGACAGCTTGACAAATGTCCCCAAACTGAACCTGCATGTGTAGCCAGCCCCTGGATGAACAGAACATTTCCAGCATGTCAGAAGTCCCCTGCTGAGCCCTTGCAGTCACCAACTGTCCCTTTCTCCCTCACTCAGGATAGGCTCATCCTAACTTTTAACAGCATAGATTAGTTCAACCTGTTTATGTATTTAATATAAATAACATACTGCATTCCCTTGTGTCTGGTTTCTTTCACTCAAAATTACGTTTGTGAGACGTGTTCAAATGTTGCCTGCAGTTCTAGATCATTCTCATTGCTCTGTAATGTGTGCGTGTTTTTAAAATCCGTTCTACTGTTGATGGGCATTTGAGTAGTTTCCAGTGTTCGGTGTTAGGATGTGCTGTGGTGAACATCCTTAGATCTTTTGGTGAACGTATGCACACATTTCTGTGAGTTTACACGGAGGAGTGGAACCCCTGGGTCTCAGGGTGCACATATATTCAGCTTAAGTAGATGGTGCAAAAATGGTTTCCCAAAGTGGTTGTTTGTCTTTGTTCAGGATGCCTGTCCACCAGCTCATATGAGAATTCCCGCTCCACATGGAAGCCAGTCGTTGGTTTGCTGGTATTGCCTATCATTTTTAGTTTGGCCAATCTGTTACAGAAAGAGAAAATGACTTGAAAGGAATCACATAGGAGAGAAAATGAAAATGCTCCCCAAGAGGGCTCTTCTCTCTATGAAGAGAATCATCATATCTAGATGATACTAGAAATCGTGATGTGTAATGCCCCACATCGTGCATTCTTGCAGGTGGAGCCGTGGCGGGGCCACCTGCTCACGTGAACATCAGCGCTGCCCCTGCCCTGGGTTGGGGACCGCCAATTTGCTGCAGTAATACCCAACAGACCATGTAATAATTCTTTGCCAGGTGACAGAGCTTTAATGTACCTGACCCCAACAAAACAAGCCTGGCTTCAGACTTGCCTGTGGGCCTCTGTAAATATTTAACAGACTGTGTCCCCCATCCTCTCTCCTGCCATTACCTGGGGCTCGTACCATAAATCACTGCTCTCCTTCCTGCTGTAGGCAGCTCCTCTCCCCCGACAGGACTCCATCCTGACGTTCTGGTGCGATGCTGCTCCTGGGCTGCTTTCTGGGGCTGGCAGCTCTTGGTGGTTGCTGTAGGAGCTAAGGATGAAGAGGGACAAGTGTGAGGAGTCCTAGGACAGACCAGGCTGAAGGACAGACTTGGGGGAGACCTCTTCCATTTGGTGCATAAAATAATGGCTTAGATGAAACTCTTAAGTGCCCGGCAATATGCTCTGTGCTTTATGTTGATTATGCCATGTCAGCCTCACAGCAGTTCTGTGAAGTAAGTGGGTGTGACTTACCCCCATATTACAGACGAAGAAACTAAGAGTTAAAAATGTTTCTCCAGAGTAACATAATTAATACATTTGGTGGTTTGACTTTAAACTTCAGTGTTTTAACTGCTATCATGTACTTCTCTCTTAGGGGCTGATTTTAGACACTTAAGCTTCCTTTTGAACCTGTCTTTCTCTTGGGTTTTTCCAAAAGCTATGTCAGATGGGTTTAATGGGATAAGGGGAGCTCACTGGTGACCCTGTGACCCCTAGTCACTGAAGAATGCTTAAAATGGAGGATGGATGCCCTGTGGCATGGTTGCTATGGGAGACAGAATAATGGCTCCCCAAAGATATCCATGTCCTGGTCCCCAGAACCTGTGAATATGTTACCTTACGTGTCAAAAGGGACTTTGCAGATATGATTGAGGTTCAGGACCTTGAGATAGAGAGATTATCTTGGACCATCTGGGTGGGGCCGGGGTAATTTCATGAGTCCTTAAAGGTAGAAGAGGGAGGCAGAAGAGTCAATCAGAGAAGGAGATGTGAGGATGGGCAGAGATGCTATGTTGCTGTATTTGAAGATGGAGGAAGCGATGTAAGCGCAGGCATCCGAGAGCAGCCTCTAGTAGGTCCAAAAGCCAAGGAAGTAGATTCTTCTTAGAGCCTCCAGAAGGAACACAGCCTGCCAACACCTTGATTTTAGCTTCGTGAGGCTTGTGTCGGACTTCTAACCTCCAGAACTGTAAGATAATGAATTTGTGTTGTTTTATACCACTAGGTATTTGACAATTTGTTATTGCAGCAATGGCTGCTATTGGTGACACTTGCTGTAATGGTCAAGCTCACGGGCTTTGGAGCCAGACTGCCTGATTTCAAACCCCCGTTCTGTCATTTTCTAGCTGAGTGACCTTGAAGAAGTCGCTTAACCTTTCTGGGCCTCAGCTTTCTCACCCCTAAAATCGGATAAGAATAGTTTAGAAGACGTAGGCTTGTTGTGAGGATTAAATTAGGATTCTGTGCACGCAAAATGCCTAGAGGTACGTTTTAGCTGTAGCCGTCCGGGTAGACATTCCTCACGAGTAGCGCAGAGCAGTGGATCAGGATGCACACTGAGGAGACAGACTCTCAGGCCTCAGATTCGGGCTCCGCTCTTAGCAGTTTGAAGCAAGGTGGTTGTCTGTGCCTTGTTTCCTTATCTGGAGAAAAGGGGCAGGAGTCGCAGGGTGGTTGCGGGGTGGAATCAGATGTGGACCAGAGCTTTTAGCGGGGTGAGTAAGAGACTCCACAAAGCGCAGTTACTGTTATCATCTGGTGGGTGGTGGCTGTGGGGCCTCAGGCCCTATGCTTCGTGGATCCATTTGTTCATGGTTATCTTTAGAATAATTCAAGTTCGCTGGGTTGGGGAGACAAAAGTCTCTCCCTATAGCTGGAATAGTCCTGGGTACCTAGTAGGCACTCAGTGATTGCTGAATGAATGCATAAAAGAGGAACAGGCCCTGTCCTGCCCTGCAGAAGCTCACAGTGCCGGACAAGGCCTGGCGTGACGCCAGGGCTCTGCGGTTGTCTTTAAAAAGAAACAAAACAAAGCACGACGTCCTACCAGCTGACCCAAAACCCCCTCAGCTCACTATAGGACCTCAGCCCTGCAGGGGAGTCAGGGCTGCGTGCCAGGCCTGGCCGCGCTGTGAACATCCGAAGCCAGCCACTTAACCTTTCCGGAACATTCTCTTCTCATCTTTATAATGGACATACCTCAGCCCCCTCTGCCCTCCCAGGGTGGTTCAGAGGAGCTCTAAGCGGTGGAAAGTTCTGCCTATGGGAGGTGACACTCTCCTGAGGGCCCCGTCTCCCACTTGACCTGGACCAGACCCACAGGGCATTATTTTTAGTGAGTTCCCCACTAAGTATATTAGGGTCAAATAGAAGGAAGAAAGGATAACTGACGACTGCTCTGGGTCCCTGATTGTAACAAGATTGATTTTTTTCCTTCCTGTCCCCAGGCCTGATCTTTTGACCAGAAAGGAATTAAGAAGATGCCCGTTGTGATGGCTGCGCCTGTCAGCTGTGGACCTTCATTCGGGGATTTTCTGAGCCGTGTGGATTTACAGTGATATTCAGCCACCTGGGGAATCATGCTGGTGGAAGCATTCTCTGGAATTACACATACCCGGCACATTTCTGGATGCTAAAGGTGGTTTTAAGGAAGGCTCTGGCTGCATGCCTTGTGGATTCCTGCAGCCTGGACGCCTGTGGGGGACAAGGACCACAGCTTCCTGAGAGGTCTCTGTCCTCATCTTGGACTGGAATGTTCAGTTGGGTCTCTGCCGGCTCCTTGTGGGGGCTCCCTGTGAAACGTAAGTCCTGTCTCACGTCTCGTGTGCACACATCTAATGCGTGTTCTGTCAAGCACTCCCCTGGGCTTAGGGGACACTGGCCTGGCTGGTGGTAAAGAGGTCATTGTGATGTGGCCGGCTCTCAAAAGACACTGGCCTTTCGTGAGCTCATTCTGTGTCTGGTGCTGGGGGCTTGGGGGAGACAGATGGAAATGGAAAAGTGTCTTGGGGGGGCCGCCACTGTTCCTGTGCTGACGTGTATGCCGTCACCCTTTATTTATTTTCCTGGTTCCTGTGTCTTTCGCCGTCTCGCAGACCATAAGTGCATTGAAGACTGGGGCTCTGTGTCACGAGCATGTCACGTGATGCCTGGCACATAATGTGTCCTGCTGCGGGAAGGGTGCGTTAAGACATGATCATTAATGAATTAAGACATCGAAGAGTAAATAGGGAACATATGCATGAGGAGATAGTTTCTTGGCTCTGTGCTTGCAGCTAGAAACAAGGAATTGAGTGTCAGCAGAGTGCCAGTGGAGCAAGCAAGGCCTGGGTTTGAATGTCTCACCTGCGTCCACTGTGTGACATGGGCAAGTGACTGCTGGATCCTTTGATCTTTTCTCTCCAATAGAGGTGATGTGTTATTGTCCTTCACAGGATTGGTGTCAAGGCTCACAAAGTAGTGGCCTGTGTGCTGACGCCTGGCATGGTGCCTGGCACACAGCAGACACTCAGCACGTGGTAGGGTCCCTGTTGGTGGGAGGAAGGCTTCTGGGAAGGAGGAGTGTGGCTGAGGCCTTGAAAGCATTTCTGAGCAGAGCCCGGTGGGCTGTGCTGGACTTTGAACTGGGCACTGCTGGTTGGCGTGGACAATTGATCGAAGGTCACAGTCCCTGGAGCCTGTGGGATGGCTGAGTGGCGGGTCAGCAGCGGATGAGGGGAAGGAGCCTCGTATCAGCGTGACGGAGAGAGCAGCCGGACTGGGACTTGGCAACCAAGGCCTGGTGTGCTTCTGCAGTTGATGAGCAGAAGGACTGGCCCCCTGCGTCCTGACTTGGCAGCTGTGAGGTTGGTGGCTCCGAGGGATGCTGCCTTAGCGTTGGGCCACCCACAGGAGAGTGGCAGCCCAAACAGCCAGTGCCCCGAGTGCTCAGGTCACCTGGGGCCACCTGGCACTTGGCTGCCAAGACTGTACTTGGGGCGGGGCCTGGGGTTCAATTTGCTTGGGTTCCCAGTTCTGCTCATGCCCAATGGCATTTCTCAGCGAGGCTTTCCCTGACCTAATGCCAGTAATGTCCCTCTGGTTATTCCACACTGTTCTGGTTCACAGCTCCTACTGTGTTGTAATGGTATATTCATTTATGCAAAGTATTTGATTTCTTGTCTTTCTCCCACACTAGCAAGTAGTCTCTCTGAGGTCAGGAAACGTGTTTGTCTTGCTCACAGGCTAAGCACGCGGTAGGCATCTTATTGCATTGTAGTTGATCAGATCAGATGATGACTCTTAGTGGTTTTCTTTCCGCTTCTCTGAAAAGAACACACAAAAGGGAAACACACACACACAAAAGGGAAACACTGTCTCTCTCTTTTTTTTTTCCAGTTATTTTATTGAGGTCATAATATTTTATAACATTGTGTAATTTCAGGTGTACATTGTTATTTATCAGTTTCTGTATAGACTGCATCATGCTCACCACTGATAGTCTAATTTTTATCCGTTACCGTATGTATGTGCCCCTAATTTTTATCCGTTACCGTATGTATGTGCCCCTTTACCCCTTTCGCTTACCCCCCGACCCCCTTCCCCTCTGGTAACCATAATCTTTTCTTTATCCGTGTGTTTGTTTATCTTCCACATATGAGTGAAATCATGCAATGTTTGTCTTTCTCTGTCTGGCTTATTTGGCTTAACATCATACCCTCAAGGTCCATACGTGTTGTTGTAAATGGGATGATTTTGTCTTTTTTCATGGCTGAGTAGTATTCAATTGTGTATGTATACCACATCTTCTTTATCCATTCATCAGTCGATGGGCATTTGGGTTGCTTCCACGTCTTGGCTATTGTGAATAATGCTGCAGTGAACATAGGGGTGCATAAGTCTCTTTGGATTGTTGATTTCAAGTTCTTTGGATAAATACCCAGTATTGGGATAGCTGGGTTGTATGGTATTTCTATTTTAAATTTTTTGAGGAATCTCCATACTGTTTTCCATAGTGGCTGCACCAGTTTGCATGCCCACCAGCAGTGTATGAGTGTTCCGGTTTCTCCACATTCTCTCAAACATTTGTTATTTTTTGTCTTGGTAATTATAGCCATTCTGACGGGTGTAAGGTGATATCTCATTGTAGTTTTGATTTGCATTTCCCTAATAATTAGTGATGTTGAACATCTTTTCATGTGCCTGTTGGCCATATGTGTATCTTCTTTGGAAAAATGTTTGTTCATATCCTCTGCCCATTTTTTGATCTGGTTGTTTGTTTTTTTATTGTTGAGTTGTATGAGTTCTTTATATATTTTGGAAATTAACCCCTTGTCGGATATGTGATTTGCAAATATTTTCTCCCACTTGGTAGGTTGTCTTTTCGTTTTGTTCATGGGGAAACACTCTCTTTTTCAGCATCTGTGTGTAACTTAATCAGCCCAACAGGTCCACTAGGTGGGCAATGGTGTGTCCATTTTACAGTTGAAAACTTTGAGGCTTTGAGGGGCCATGTAACTTACCCAAGGTTATTTATCCAAAAGAAGGCAGAGCAGGAAGCTGAGAAGGGTGTGTGTGTGTGTGTGTGTGTGTGTGTGTGTGTGTGTTGAGCACTGCCTGCTGTGGAGTGCTCTTGGGGTCCTTAGAACTGGGTGCCCAGGTTGTCCTCTGGGAGAGAGAGACATTCAGTGAGAACTGTGTCCCCCGCTGTGCGGAGGAGGCAGGCATGGTGCTGGGCCGTGGGATGAAGTGAGGTTGGGATCATGGTCTGGCACCGGGCGGCTCATGGTCTGCAAGGAGCCTGTGCCCTTGGGTGAGCAGGGATTTGCAGCACAGCCGGACCATGGCCAAGCAGGGCGGGGAGAGGAGTCATCCGGGGAGGGTCTCTGGAGGGACTGGGAGACTTGGAGGGCTGGGAGGTTTGGCTGGGCTTGCCGTGGTAAGCAGAACTGTCCTGGGGACGTGAAAAGTCAGCTAGAAAAGTGAGTGGGGGAGACCAGGGCTCAGCACCGCCCCTTCTCTTCTGCCCTCCCAGGCTTCTTGCACTCCTCCTTGCCGTCTCCTCCCACCCTCCTGCTGCGGCAGCTGCGTCTCACTTATCAGGAGGCCCGCAGCCCTGCTCTTTCTCCTTTTATCAGTGACTCCCTCCAACAACCCCATTGTGGTGGTCCTGGTTATCTCCTGCTCCTCCCGGGAGGGCGAGGGTGGGCTTGGGCACCAGAAGACAGGATGGTCATGGCGAGAAATAAGACTACTGCTTCCCCCTCCTGTCTGGCTGCTCTGAGCACCTGCCCCACGTCTGTGAGGTTGCACCCTGTGGACGTTGATGCAGGAACGATCACCATTTGTTAAGCCATGCTCTGTGCAGGGCACGTGGCAGACATGATTCCGTTCCAACCCCAGAACAGACCTATGGGGTAGGTGCTGTTATTATGGTCTTTTTTAGTGTTGAAGTAACTGGAACTCAGAGAGACAAAGCAGGTCTCCCCAGGGCACACAGGCAGGATTTGAACACAGTTCTCTCTGATTCCAGAGCCACTGAGCCACACTGCCTGGAGCTGAGAGACACAACTTCTGCTCTCTTCTTGGTCTCCCAGCGACTGTGTGACCTCGGGCAGATCACCTCCTTGCTCTGGGCCTTTGTACCCGCATTGGTAGGGAAACCATCTAATTTCTCTTCTAAGCTGGGACACTTAAGAGTGAAAGGAGCACTGTGACACTGACTCTGGGATGAGAGGTGTAAACCAGGAGGGTGCTGGGCAAACCAGACCCTGTGGCACCTGGACTCATCAGTTAGATGGAGGGGGGTGCTGCTGGTCCTGGTGCTGGTGGTGCTGCTGGTGCTGGTGGTAGTGCTGCTGGTACTAATGATGCTGGTTGTGGTGTTGCGGGTCCTGATTCTGGTGCTGCTGCTGTTGCTGCTGCTGGTGCTGGTGCTACTGGTGGTGATGGTGGTGGTGGTAATGCTGGTGTTGCGGGTCCTGGTCCTGGTGCTGCTGCTGCTGGTGTTACTGGTGGTGATGTGGTGCAGGTGCTGCTGCTCCTGGTGCTTCTGCTGGTGTTGATGCTACTGATGCTGGTGCTGATGTTGGTGGTCCTGGTCCTGGTGCTGCTGCTGCTGGTGTTACTGGTGGTGATGTGGTGCAGGTGCTGCTGCTCCTGGTGCTTCTGCTGGTGTTGATGCTACTGATGCTGGTGCTGATGTTGGTGGTCCTGGTCCTGGTGCTGCTGCTGGTCCTTGTGGTGCTGCTGGTGGTGGTGCTGCTGCTGCTAATGCTGCTATTTCCTGGGTGCAAGTTGGCTCCTCCAGATTCTCCTTGCAGTTGCGTGGGCAGTTTGCATTTCTGCTCATGGCACATGAGCTTGGCGTAATCTTCTCATCTCACACACAGTCTGCCTTTAGCTGCTTGGAAGAACTCCTTTCTCTTTGAGCCCTTTTTGCCCAGACTGCGGCTAGAGCAGGCCTGATCTGTATGTTTTTTTTTTTTTTTTTTTTGTGAGGAAGATCAGCCCCTGAGCTAACATTCGATGCCAATCCTCTTCTTTTTTGCTTAGAAAGAGTGGCCCTGGGCTAACATCCGTGCCCATCTTCCTCTACTTTATATGGGATGCCGCCACAACATGGCTGGACAAGCGGTGCGTCGGTGTGCGCCCGGGACCCGAACCTGTGAACCCTGGGCTGACGAAGTGGAGCGTACGCACTTAACCGCTGCGCCTCTGGTCCGGC